CATGTAGGCCAAGATCTGTCCCCAACCTGCTGCAGGCACCTTGGAGATTGCCGCAAGCCCGTTTGGCACGTCGGCAAATTTAAGTCCGGCTGATGGAGACAAATAGCCTGGGAGCTTTCCAGTGATCCTTGGTCGAACTCAATGGGAAGTTCACGATAGCATGTCGCACAAACATCCAATGCACAAACAGGGAAAACACAAACAAGGGAAAACGTTCACCACGTTCCAAAGTCTTGTTGAAAACACAAAGCATACACATACTCCAAAGTTGAAAAACGAAAGTGTCTCTGGAGTAATATAGCCCATTGTTGCAAGCATGGAAATCCTTCCGTGCTTGAGCTCTGTCTGACGACGTCGCTTGAAGTTCTCAACGCTGCCGTCCGCAGTAAATCCTGCCGGATCCCAGAATCCCACAGGCTCCTGCACACCCAACTCGTTCTCGAAGGCACGCAGTGTCACCTGTCGCAAGATCCAGATCAAGACTGGTATGCGACTAGAAAAGTTGTTCATGTTGGTAACCGGTATTTTTTGCACACTACGGATGCTGCTTCCAGGCATGGGATGGCAAGAATATGTGTCAACCATTGTTTGTTGCAAAAAACAATATTCACCTATATAAGTGCTGTAGATCTTCCGAACTCACTGTGCCAACCAAAGAATGCCGAAGAGCTTCTCTGGCAATCCCTCAAATGTGTTTGGGGTGAGAGACTTGGAGGGAACCCATCTAGTGACCTCGATGAACAGCCCAGAAAGGATAGGAAAAAACAAGGGATACGGATCGTTCTTGGTGATACCTTACATACATAATATACATATCCAATAGGGTACTTCACAGATTACAGGATATCAATATCCATAGTACATTATTTGCAGTAAATCCAGTGTGCGCGTGGTGCGGGTCCCCAGGTCCCAAGGTAAACACTTTCCGACACCTAACTCATTCTTTGGACTATCTGTGTGCACGCCACCAGGTACCAGCTCGTCTTAGCCAGCTGTTTTATCCGCCAAAACCACATCGCGGGGCGCACCAGCTGTGGCTTGATGCTACCAAGTGCCTCAGGATGTTGCGGCATCGGAAATTACGAAATAGCACCGAAACACGAAACACAAACCAACTGGTTGGCAAAGGCAGGCAGTTTTTACAGTCCACTTTTTATTCTCTTTCGCCACTTTCGCTGAACACGAGTCATGAGGACGCCGTCACATGTCTCACTTTCGTCTGACAAGAGTCTTGAAGTCTTGGGATCTAAGTGCTCCGCCTTACGACCACTGGCGGTCAAAGCTGCCACAGCTACACCAGCGACAGCTAGAGAGGCGGTTTTGCCAGGAGCAGCCTGATGCTTTCGTCTAATACGGTGAGGAGACGAATAGTACGGTGACGACGACGACGACGACGACGACGAAGAAGACGACAACGACGACGACGACGACATAATACTTCACTCTAGACTTGTGCAACTTAATCCCTTTCTGGACTTTCCTCCTACCGCAGACAGAACATCTTCAAGCTTCTATCAAACATGTGGTTGTTGAGCGCCTCAGGCTTCACAAGCAGGCGCAACAGTTTCCGCTTGTATCTTTGGCCAATACGAGTGACCGATCATGGTGGATGTTCTCTTGCACTTAAACCGAAACCAGACAGCCTTCCTCCACCTCTGCTGAAACCACACGTGGCTCCGAAACTGCTTAGGTGCAACAACCCAAGCCCCACGGAAACACACAGCTGGCAATCAGCTGCCCTGTGCCCCATTAAAAATATGCTATCCTTGTCGAGTGGGAGTTGATTGCGGAAAAAAACATGAAGCCCACAAACCTCAGCAACCTGTATCCGTCAAATTCTGCCGGTCTGTCAGGGTCACACGGATGTTCCTAGGCGTTCTTTTGTGCAAAGTGTTTGGATCTGTTTAACCGTTTAACCACTTGAAAGTGCAAGAAGAAAAACACAGGGTGGAGAAGTATCTTGGCTGCTTGGTACCAATGGTACAGCGCCACAACCGCGCGTTTAAGCATGGAAAAATACAAACGAATGTCGCTGTCTACACACGTGCAGTGTTCGCTGAGAGGCCAAGAAAAATATACCAGGTCCTTGTGATGTGTTTTTCTCGTCAGTCGCAAGTTACAAGATACTTCCTTTCTTGAAGACTTACCACGACATCTGACCTCCAGGCTGGGAGTAGATCCGGCAGCGGTAGACGCAGTGGCCTCAGGCTTAGGCTTAAGGCTTAGATCTCCCACGACCCCCCCGACAACTCAGCCTGGTTCGATGATTCGATCAGTGACTGTCCTTCGAGACGGGTTGTCAGTTGGACAAACTCCAAGCACTCTCAAGGTGCACTGTTGGTTTGTTCCTTCTCTGGATGGTCAGCACAAGTCCACGGCTCGAAGATTGCTGGTGGCTGGCGCAGACACAAAGTTGACGCCACTGAAGAGGGCAGCCGCACCTGGCTGATCTTTGTCGATGTTTTTCAGCCGTTGTATGCCAGAATCCCCTCAAAATAGACTGTAAAATGTGATACCGTGCAGCAGCGAAGGACCTGCAGCAGCGGCAATGGTGGTGCGGGAAGTTGAGGACATCCTGGGCACGAGTCTCAAACAGAAGGCGAGCGACCACATCTTGATTCAACAAGTTCATTGAAACACCTACTGTATGTAGGTGGTTCCACATGATGAAAATCAAACAATACCTTTGATTGATCCAATGCGTATATTTATGCCCGCAGCGTAACAACTCACATAGCAAAATGATGCAGAATGAATCAAAAAGGCAGAAGAACTTAATTGTATTTTTTCCGCCTGCTGAAACAAATAACTATATAGATTCACAGCCTGGTTGTTATATAAAATATACATATTTGTCTCCAACTGATCAGACGTGGTGCATCGGCGAGAAACATCGAGAAACTGTCCCCGGAAAAACAGAAAACTGTTCCGGCATCTTTCCCCCCGGAAATTTCCCAAAATATTTCATGAACACTGTTTCTACTTTCAAGGAGACCTGTCTATCTTTTCTTCGTTCAAAACAACCAGGCTTTGCTTCGTCCCGGGCACGTCTCTTCGAAAAATGTGGCCAAAAATGGGAGTACTTTTCGCTCCCACAGCCTTTGTCTTAAAAATGGCTCGAGCCAAAAGATCGGCAGCAGGGGTGCACTTCCAATCGGATGGGTATCAAATGCTTAAACAAAAGAGCAGTTCAGCCCTAGCCTCTGTCTGAATATCCTGAATTGAGCTGCAGGGTAGTAGATGATTTCCACCAAGGAATTATGACGAGCTAGCAATCGAAATCCAACAATATGACACAGTTGCACTGCTCCGTTATGTATTCATGCAACCTATCGCATGTGCCAATGGCCAATAGCGTTGGGAAATAACATAGGAAGTTCACATCACCTAGAAAAAATGTACAGACTCTGAAAAGATGAGCTACCTGCATGTCTTTGGCCAACATGTGAGAAGCTGACGAAGAACAGGCAACTCATGTGAAGTAGAGTACAACAGTGAAACAGCTGTCGTCAAGAGTCAAAAGTGCGGCGTTCAACAATCCCTGTGTGGCAATGGTCATGGGTATCGCCGTAGCGCCTTCAAGGGCATCGCCACACAGAGCGCGACCCAATTTTTGACTTGTCGCTGTTTGGTGATCGTCGTCGTCATCGTCGTCGTGGTCGTCGTCGTCGTCGTCGTGCTGGTGGTGGCGGTGGTCGTCGTCGTCGTAGTAGTAGTAGTACTATTGGAGTACTAGTACTAGTACTAGCACTAGCACTAGTGGTGATAGTAGTAGTCGTCGTCCTCTTGGTCGTAGTGGTGGTAGTAGTGGTAGTAGTAGTAGTAGCAGAGGTCGTAGTAGTAGTAGTAGTAGTAGACATAGTAGTAGTAGTAGTAGTAATTGTAGTAGTAGTAGTAGACATAGTAGTAGTAGACATAGTAGTAGTAGCCATAGTAGTAGTAGTAGTACTACTAGTAGTAGTAGTAGACATAGTAGTAGTAGCAGTGGTAGTAGTGGTAGTAGTAGTAGTAGTAGACGTAAACTTAGCAGTAGTAGTCGTCGTCGTCCTCGTCGTAGTGGTAGTAGTAGTAGTACTCGTAGTAGTAGTAGTAGTAGTAGTAGTAGTCGTAGTAGTAGTAGTAGGTAGTAGAAGGTAGTAGTAGGTAGTAGTAGGTAGGAGTAGGTAGTAGTAGGTAGTAGTAGGTAGTAGTAGGTAGTAGTAGGT